CTCCAGCTCGGGGAGGCATCGTGGACCTCCTCGCTGGAGGTGGGCCCCCTGGTGGTGTTGGTGTCGCATCTCCCCCCTCCGATCCCCTCCTCAAATATATCCTTCGTTTCGGCGCCTTGGATCACATGCGATGACAAGCCTTGCTATACATTCAATGAGTTCCGCGACTGTTTCACACACGTCTACTTTGCATGAGCGTGGCATGCTGGAAATGTCCGAGACGGCACCGTTCAGGTGTCTTTGAAGTGAGGGGCGCCATGGTCTTGCCATGACGTCGCCTTCAAGCACATACGGATACATGACGGTGCACTCATGGCGTGCCCCCGCTGCTTCCAAAATGCTCCAATCCCCCGCGTCTCATGCTCCCATCTTTCCTTGCGTTCCTCATATCCTTCCCCGCCTCTCGATCTTTCCACGCAGCCGCCTTACCCTACATCCTCCTCCAATACAGATGATACGCGCAAGGCCGAAGCATGCGCACAGGGTCAAAAAACAAACCGGTTCTGTGGAGGACCTCGAGGGTCTTTGCGAGTTGGAACCTTGCAGGCCATTTTTCGGTCATCGCCGACTCGGCGTCGAAAATGATAATCCATGGATTTCACTGTTCCCTGCTCGCCTCCTCCCGCCCAAGGAAGGAAAATGTGTGAATCTCCCGCCCATAGAACAATTCAGAATTTCCCTTCAGGCACATCATGCAAGTTTTCTGTTATTGCGTGTCGTTTGTCGGTCCTTGCTTGCGCGTTGTCTCAGATGTCCTCCCGCCAGACAGACAGATTCTGATATCCCGCACAGACAAGGAATCATCACGTCTTGTCGGTTTCATGGTGCACTTGTCCGGCGGAACGAAATCCAGTCCTTGTCGACTTGGGGTCTCAGCTGTTTCCTTGTTACCCTCCTCCCGCCCAAAGCAAGGTCCCGATGTGTCCCCACCCAGAGAAGAATTCATTCATATTGTCCTTCCCCACGATGCACTTGTTCGGTGCTGGCGAGTCGTTGTTCGGTCCTTGCCAACGTGGTGTCTCAGGTGATTCCCGACTGAACTCCTTTCACGCAGGAACATCTACGCTCTGTTGATATCATGATGCACTTGTTCGGTCCTGGACACTCGTTGTTCGGTACTTGCCGATGCATGGCCTCAGGTGTTCGGGCAGGTCCTCCTACGGGCAGATATTGGAAGACATGCGAACGAAAAACAGCCAAAACATGGACAAAATAGTCAAATCGGCGCGACAAAGGGTCCCCAGACTATTGTTCGACTTTCTTCAAAATACCCCTCCTGCAGAGGGACATGCCCGACTTACCACTGTGCAGGAGCCGTGCCTCCGCCGCGCACCCGCTGGAGCGGGATCCATCGAGCCCGCCAGCCCCAGGGGGGCATGGCCTCGACTGGCTCAGGGCCCGGCGGCCAGAACGCGAGCGTCTTTTACCAGCCTCGAACGTGTCCCCATCCCTAAGATTGACACGCCAAAAGGCGATGACAATCTTAGGGATCCGCCCTCAAAAAATAAGGGAATCCCTAAGATTGGCATCGTGATGAGGAGGTGCCCAGCATAGGGATAGGGATATGTTCCAGGCTGGGATAAGTCTTTGGGCATCAGGCGCATCCTCCGTCCTCGCCCGCCCCGTCGCGCCCGTCTTGCGTCGGGGCGCCTCCGACGATGCACACTTTGCACCGGGGGCCTCACGACGAGGGGGGGGCCCGGGTCCTCCCGAGGCCTCCATGCATCCGGGAGGTCGCCAGAGCTCCCGGCCTGGAGACCTGCGGGAGCATCCAGAAGCCTACAGTCCTCGCCCTACCGTGCGGAAGGCTGCATATGTTGTGTTGCATCCTCGGGGGACCTTGCCCGTCCCGTCGTGGCCCTAATTATCCGCGTCGAATCGGTGTCGAATCCAGGTCGGCCTCGTCGAATCCGCGTCGAATCCGCGGCCAATCTGCGCCAAATCCGCGTCGCATCTGCCATCGAGCCCGCGCTGGGCACAGGCAAAGGCACCCATTCTTGGGGCAGGCGAGGTCCCCCCCCCAAAAAAACAATGCAACCTGACCCAGGTCAATCCAGACCCGGGTTAGCAGGAAACCAAAATCGCAATGCAGGAAACAAAAACTGCAACGCAGGTCTTCGCAAACCTGGGTCAGCCAATATGCGCGGCCGCCTCGCGGCCACGAGCGGCTCGCTAACCCAGGTCAGCCAGAGAAGGTCTTCGCAAGATCCTGCAGGATCCGGCGCCCTCGCTGACCCCCGCTTGCATGGACCCCCGTCTCTTGGCGGGTTCCGGCAGCCCGGAACACCACCAACAACAACAAAAAAAACGCCACCCCTCGGGGGCGCAGCTTCTGCTTCCGCCGGCTTCCGCTGGCCCTCGCCGGCTTCCGCACGCGGAGGCGCCCTCGTTTTGCTTCCGACGCCCTCCGCCAGCCCTCTGCCGAGGAAGCCGAGGGGGAGGAGGGGGAGGGGGAGGGAGAGGGGGAGGAGGAAGAGGAGGAGGAGGAGGAGGAGGAGGAGGAGGAGGAGGATGGGAGGGGGGGAGGATGAGGGAGGAGGAGGAGGAGGGAGGAGGGGGGAGGAGGAGGAGGGAGGAGGAGAGGGAGGGAGGAGGAGGAGGAGGAGGAGGAGGAGGAGAGGAGGAGGAGGAGGAGGAGGACAAAGGAGGAGGAGCAGGGAGGAGGAGGAGGCTGGGCCCTCTCTGGAACGCCTGACACGGGACGATGGGGCTCGCCTGGCCACGGCGGGCCACGAGGGCCTGGGTCCTCGGGGGAGCCTCCCGGAGGCCCCCGGAGGCCCCAGCACAAGACGAGGCCAGGACGAGGCGAACGCCGGGCGAGGATACCTCGAGAACCTCTGAGCTCCGAAGGACAAAACATCGGGCATCTCTGCGATCCGGCGGCGCTCCGGAACGCTCCGCGAGCCTTCCGGAACGCTCTGGCACGGAACCCTGTCCTCGTCCAGTAGCCCTGTCCGACAGCAGGCCCCCTACATAGGGAGACCCGCCCGGGCCTCCGGAGGCCTGCCGCCCTCGGCCCCCTGCCGCGCACGATAGGCGCTGCACACATCGGACAGAGCGCAGGCACACCCAGCAGCGACTCGGGAAACCGGACCGGCTCGGAACGCGCGTCGGGCCGGCCCGCACGGGCGCGGAGCCGACATCGAACCGGATCGGCCGCGCAAGGATGCGCCGCAGCACCCCCCGAAGGCATCGGGACGCACCCGGGCGTCGGGACATCGGAGTCGAGTCGGCCCGGGCCGAGCGAAGACGAAAACACCGGGACGCACCCGAGCGTCGGGACATCGGAATCGAGCCGGCTCGGGCCGAGCGAAGACGAAAGCATCGGTCGGGACGCACCGGGGCGTTGGGGCATCGGAGTGGAATCGGCCAGTCGGCTCGGGTCGCGAGCGAGGATGGCCTCGAGCCGGATCGATCGCAACTCGGAGTGGGCCCCAGAGGGGCTCCAGTTGGGCACGCAGAGCCTCGGGCGCGTGGCCTGGGCCGGGGGAGAGAGCAGAGCCCCAGCTCTTGCGGCCTCCATGCGCTCGCAGCGGCCGCCTCGCGCTCGCAGCGGCCGCCAGCGACCCTGCCCCCCAAAGCTCCACCTACAGACCTTGCCCCCCAGTGCAAGCTGCGGCAGCTCAAGGTCTCCCCACATACAGTCTGCCTTGATTGGACAGGACAAGCACGAGGACACAAGACCATTCCGAGGACCACATCGCCATAGGAGTGTAAGAAGGCACGTGCCGCGAGGCACAGGACACCAGAGTAATTACCCTTGAGCTGGCAGGGCCGACCTACTAATCCAGGCCGACCTACTAATCCGGGCCGCCAGCAACCCTGCCCCCCAAGCAAGCTCCACCTCCAGACCTTGCCCCCCAGTGCAAGCTGAATCAGCTCAAGGCCTCACCAAATACTTGGCGGGAGAGGAGGAGGAGGAGGAGGAGGAGGAGGAGGACATTTTTTTTTGACATTCGCTTCGGGGCTGAACTAAAGCTCAAGCACGTTCCGCGGACAGCAACTGACCCCCAGTCCAAGCCTGGGGCGTTGCCAGTTCCGAGTCGGCGCCAAGAACCCTACCCCAGGAGGAGGAGAGGAGGAGAAGGACATGCAAGGAGGGAGGAAGGAGGGAGGGGGGAAAAGAAGGGCAAGGGAAGGGGAAGGAGATCAAGACTGCAAAGCACTGGGGTAAACTTTCTTCCCACAAACTAGTGGGAGTCCCCGAGCAGAGCGAGACCACCATTCCCCAAAGGGAAGAGAGAATACTAGGGGATTACTTCGCCAGACTTTCCTGGACCCCTGAAAAGAAAAATAAACTGGGCTGAATACAGCTGCCCAACTAGCGCATGAAGAGGAAACTGCAGGTAAGCTACCTGCTTCACAGTTCTGCCGATCTGGCCAAGGAAACAAGACGTGAAGGTAAAAGAAACGCTGGGTAGCTGACGACTGTCCTACCCTCGACCCTCGCCCCTCGCCAATCGCCCCTCGATCCTCGAGCAGAGACCCTCGACCCTCGACCTTCGACCTTCGATCCCCGAACCTCGACCATAGATCCTCGATCCTCGACCCTCGATCCTCGACCCTTGACCATCGACCCTCGGCCCGCGATCCTCGACCCTCGACCCTCGATCCTCGATCCTCGACCCTCGACACTCAACCCTCGATCCTCGACCCTCGATCCTCGATTAGGCCAGCGACATCGACACCCTCGATCCTGGCGATCGAACCTCGGCCCTTGGCCCCAGATCGCGAGCCGAGTGTTAAAGGGCCAGGCTCGACCCTTTGAACCTCGACAACCTTCGGGGGTTACTGAACGTGCCCCTGGCCCAAGTGCCCCAAGCTGTGCGCTCCATTTTGAAGCCACCCTGGGGCCCGTTAGGCCTTGTGAGGGGTGCTCTGGAGACCGCGGGGGCCTCTTTGGAATTCCTGGGGACACGCTGGGCCAGAGATCCTTCTGGCTTGGGCGCCCGAGGTGGGTACGGACAAAAATAGGCACGATGCCCGACAGCAGATATTCCCCAATCAGCGCTTGCACTGAAGGGTCCTAGTGGAAATTGAAAGATTAGGCGAGACTTTCCCACCGATTTGGTAGCCAGCTGGATTCCCGGGTTCCTGGTTCCGGGTTCCCGGGTTCCTGGTTATTTCTGTTGTGACCCGCCGCGCGATCCGCGCACGACCCCCATTGAGAAGCCTGGACAAACCACAGGCTATGCACCTGTCGCTCTCAGGAGGCGGCGGGTCATCGCACTTTCCCCAAGCAGGCCGAAGTCTTGCTGTGGAAGATGGCGGCTTTGGCCTCCCCCGCATCTGGGCCGCGGACGTCAGTCGTGGCAACCACAGTGAACGGCTTGCGTTCGTTAATGCCCGTGCACTTGCCCTCGCCTTGCCTCCTATTCTCCATATGGTAGCAGGCGTGGAATGATGGCAGTCGCGGAGACATCAGTATGCCGCCGATGCACATCTCGTCGTTGATGTCGAAGCCCAATATGGTTCGATGTGACCGCCCTTGCGTGTTGTATACGCACGTGACCTTCAGCGCATCGCCCTTCGACACTACGATGCTCCTCTTCAAGAAGCGCGATCTCTGATCTTCGTCAATATTGTACACCTTGTGGACTGCGAAAGGGGTCGAAGAGCCATTCGAGTGTAGCACCTCCGCCTTGAAAGCGGTACCGGCGAGATGCATGTGGGCCCGCGCTCCAATGACTTCGATTTCGTTCAGTGAGAGGCGGCCCATGGCCGCCGCCATGTCGTCCGGCGGGCAAAGAGACTCCACGACGTACCGTGCCAACCCCGGAGGTATCGATAGCATCTTTCTCGCCTTCGGGCCGAGCTCTAAGTACTGCACGGTCTTCAGGGAGCGGCCAAACTCTGTCAAAACGCCTGTACTGTCCACAACGATCTCCCTGACGTGGAGAGCTTTGTAGTGCACCGTGAGCTTCATGTACTTGGAATCGAGGGAATACATGTACCCCTCTGGAAATTTGAAGAACAGGGTGTTCACGTTGAAGGTGTGTATCTTTCGACTGCAGCCAGTGCCCAGCACGTGCTCCGACTTGTCCGGGAAGGAAATGTTCAAACGTGGTGGCTCGAATCCCTCATCGCAGCCGAACAACGAAACATGATGAATGTACCTCTCGGCCTCGCCTGACCTGACGACCGTCATGGCGGTGATTCCTGCGGCGGAGTCCATATTTGGCATCTCGAAGAAGCGACTCATGTAGACGTCCTTTCCGCTTCTCAAGTTCACTTCCACGTTCTGGTGCTGAACCAACCACGGTTCAACCTTCTCCGTCTCGACCGAGCCCGCTCCTCCCCGCGAGGCCACGAGTGCGAGGCCTAACGACTTTGAGAGTGCGCGGCGCGGACGTCGCCGACGCGCGCGCGATGACATGGTCCATGGGATGAGCCCGGGCGCGCTGAGAAACCTCGCCCGATGGCGGAGGGTGGGTCAGGCCTTGAGCCAAAATGGCTACGGATTCCCGGGTTCCTGGTTATTGGTTCCGGGCCGATTTTGGTGGGTTCCGGGTTCCCGGGTTCCCGGTCGATCTTCTTATCGATCTCTTTATCGATCCCATTTCAATCCATCCACTGATTGGGGATGCGTCTCTGGTGCAATTGTCTAAAACCGACAGCGGTCGCTGTTGGGCAGGCGGCCGTCCGCCTGGAATAGACATCCTCGGCGGCGCCGTCAGCGAGCTCGGTTCAAGATGGGCCAGAACTGCTGTCAGCCATCGCACCGTCGGACCCAGGCCAGAAGAACACCCTCAAGAACATGAGACAGACCCTCCGCCGGCCCAAAACACACAGAGCATCCGAGGGCACTCCCCCGAGGATCACAGGAAAATCCATTAAACACGAAGAACACGAGGGTACCCCCCCCGAACCGACCTCGAGCTTATACTTCGGTCCACCTGCAACCACGCCCCTGTCCCCATGGGCGTGGCCTGGGCCCCACTGGCCGATTTACCCCCCTGGATGGGGATACACAGGCCGCTCCCTTCGGTCTTCGAGGGGTATATGCGTCCCCCCACTGAAGGAGAGTGGGAATGGGGACGGGGGTCAGTCAGACGATGCTGAGGCCCGGAACCGACCTTGATCTTATACCTCGGTCCGACTGCACCCGTTCTCTGGAAGACCGAAAGGTAACGATGCCGCTACTCCCCGCACCTCTCCCGGGGTGCGTTCTGACCAGAATTTCGAGGCGAATCCAGCGGCGGCGACGAGGACCTCCCAGGAGGCCGAAAAAGGGGAAAAAGGGTGAGGGGTAGGGATGTGGGTACTTTGTTCCTGCTCTGAGTTCTCTTCGTACCCCTCCCGATCGCACCGATCTGGCCACATCCCGCACCCCTCGATCGCCGTAGGCTCGGCCTGGAGACCTCCCTGCCCTCGGCGGGCTCGTCCTCGCCGAGCGGCGCCCGGCCCAGATCCTGGGCCCCAAATGGGTTCCCTGGAGGCCTGGGGACACCATGGACCAGTCCTCCTCCTCCTCCTCCTCCTCCTCCTCCTCCTC